TGCAGCCAGTCCGTCCTTTCCCTGCGATCTGTGGTTTTTTTTTCTGACATCAGGAGCCACCGGCCGCCGTCAGACAAAAAAAGCCAGGATAGGAATGCATAGCTAGATTCCTATTGGCTATTTCACTTTGCAATAGCCAATAGCAAACTTGCTATTGCACCTGCCCTCTGCTGCTGTCAATCAGCAGAGGGGGACCTGAAGTTCTCCATCAGGTCCCAGCAGCTGCCAGAATACAAAAAAAACAAACCCTGCAGATAGCAAAGAAGATATTGCTTCCTGTGCTATCTGCCATCATTTCAGGGGAGTGCTCTCTTTCCTCCTCCCTTCCCCCCAGCGGATAGGGGGGGGGGGGGCAGAGGGCACCTCCCTGAAATGAGAAGGGCACCTCCCTGAAATTGCTTTTTTCAGGTTGGTATCCCTGGTAACCCTGCCGCTCCGTGTAAACAGTGAGAGGGGAGAGCAGTCTTCCCCTCTCACAGGAGTTCCACACAGTGCTGTGCTAGAACTCCTGTCTTGGTGGTGACAGGTTCCATAAAGAGAACCTGTCACCTCCAAATGCTATCACACAGGGGCTTGTTAGCTCCTGTGTGATAACGATAAAGTTAAGTGAAAACAAATTGATAAAAAAATATTAAATAAATAAAAATAAAAAAATACGGAAAAAGTAATAAGAAAAAAATGAATAAATTAAAAAAATTAAAAGGTGATTAAAAAGTAAAAAATATCATGGCCCACTTGCCATGATAACCAGTTTATTGGCAGGCTCCTTCCCTACAGGGACGGGGGCTCCCCTGCACAGAAGGAGGACAGGAGCCTGCCAATCAGCTTGTTACTATTCCCTGGGTGATATTTGGGGGCGTACAGGGACAATGAGGGCATGCTGGAACTTGTAGTTGCCTGGGTAATATTTTGGTGGCGTGTAGAGGGACAATGAGGGTATGCTAGGACTTGTAGTTCAATTACAATATGTCCCAGCATGCTCTCATTTTACCTGTACACCCCCACATATCACCGGGGGGGGCAAAATTTTGTTCTGCCCGGGGCGCCCGTTACTCTGGTTACGCCACTGTGTGGATACAGTCTCCTTTTTTTAAACAATGCAGATATAGTAAAGATTGTCATTTAAGGACAAATTGCCGTTCAGTACAAGCGCTTTCGGGGTCTCAACAGTACCCCTTCATCAGGCTCAAATTTTGTCATCAAGCTAAATTATGTCACTTTGTAGCAACTAAATTTCATCCAATAAACGAAATTTCGACCGGGAAATCGGGAATTCGGATTCGTTTACATTCGTTTTAGCTGTAATTCGGAATTCGGATACATCCGAATCTTCGAATTTCCGAAATTATGCCAATAGTGCAAAGTCGCGCTGCAGCTGAGCCGAATCCCGACAATATTGTCGGGATCCAACCCCACTACCTGATTGACAGTGGGCTCTGCCTCTCTATAGCCAGCTGTGCCTGCCCCCTCCCCTGTCCGTCCCTCCAGTCAGCACTAGAGGAAGGGAGGGGGGAATCACTGCGGGGAACAGTGACTGACAGTCACTGCTCTCTGCAGGTAGAAGATCGGGAAATAAGCGATCAGCGGTATGAGCTCACTCAGTTCTCAATCTATAGAGCTAACGTGTTAAAACTTCAGTGTCACACGTCGGCTCTAATTATGGGGATGTGTGTATTTTACTCTCCCCCTATTTCTCCTTTTTAAAAAAGAAGACAACCCAAAAAAAGAGAACCCCCTTAGATGGCTCAGATCAGTCATCAAAAAATGATTTGGCAACCGAAGGGTTAATTAAGCTGCACCCAATATTCAGCTTAGTTCAAGATATGGGATAGTCCTCATTACACAATACTAGCCACCTCAGCTCTCGTACCTGTATACCCCTTATGGACCAGAACAATTTTTACATGTATTTATTATAACCTATGCGCAAACAAGTAGTTAACCCCAGAGTTCCTGGAGTTCTTCTTTAACTGATGTCATACGCATATCAAAGGTCACATCTAAAACACAATGAAACAATCCATGTACCCATTGCATGGAATTTTGACTGCCCCATCTGCTGTAAAATACAAAGCAATTAGCGGCTATCATTTTGACAGCTGTAAATTGCCGGGAACAGCGGCTGGAGAGAGGGGCTGGATATAATAGATCTGTCCTACAACTTAGTTACAACAGCAAAATGTTTCCCAGCACACTCACCAGCCAGCATGCAAAAAAACTTGCAAACAAACTCCGGGTACGTTTTTTTAACCCTTGCAGTAGGGCTACCCCCTCATTGCAGGGGTTAACTGCTTGTTTTGGTCTAGGGCTATAAATAACAAAGTTATCCTCATCCGATCCTTCGAGTCGGCTTGCTCTTAGACCGATCAATAGAGCGCCTCTCCCCCCTCCGCTGCGGCAATCTAAATCATCACATTCTATACACTTTGGATGTGAGGAATTCTATAGTGCTTTGGATGTGAGGAAGCTGAGGGACATACCATTGCTGCAGTGGAGGAGAAGACAGGCTTCAGGGAGTGCCATCACAGCCGGCCGGCTTGGAGGATCTGGTGAGTATATCTTTATTATTTTCAGCCCTGGACCAAAACGAGCAGTTAACCCATGTAGTGCAGGGATAGCCCCACTTCAAGGGTTAATTAAAAAAAAGAGTTATTTTTAAAGTCTTTTAGAAATCCTCATGTGGCTAGAATTTCAGAAGCAGACAAAACAATAGCTGGCACATAAAACAAACATAAGCCCTGCGAGGTTGAGTGTAGCAGTGGCTGCCACACCTACACCTCCTGACAACATGCAGACAGGATATACCTGACTTTAACATGTGACGTTACACATTTCCAGTTATGTGCTGTTCTACACAAGTAATGACAGAGCAAGGAAGTTAGAATTGCCACTTAAACGGCTTTTTGTTTGTTTTCCTTTCTGCTTTTCTAAAAAAAAAAAATGTTTAGTGGAGACAATACCTGGACACCTGCAAAGGACCCTCATTCAAGTAGCCAAAACGTCAGCCTGCAACATGTGATCAAGCAGGAAAGGTACTTTATACTCGTTTCCTCTCTTTCCTTTATACTCTTTTAGCATGTGAATTTACATCTAGCATGCTGGTAACTCGCAGTTGTACATATGATGATGATGATGATGCAGACATTGGGATTTGGGATGTTTTGCTTTTTGTGCAGTGCGTATATATATTGTTTCATATAAAGCAATAGGAAGAGGGTTTAACCTCCCACAACCCCACCCCACCCCTCAAACACCACCCCCACCCCAGCAAACAACAGCAGGACCTCTCATCTGAAACACAGAAGAGCATCATAATAAGAGCTCTTCTTAAAAAAGAACTCCAGGAAACGTTTTCTTCGTGGAACTATCCCCAAACTGCAAGGGTTAAATGCTCGTTTTTGTCTAAGTGCTAAAATAACGTTACACTCACCCGAAGCTTACAGGCTAGCCAGCTGTCACAGTTCTTTCCAGCCTGTTTCCTCCTGCTGCATCATTGGTATATTCCTCAGCGTTGTCACGTCTATACACTGTGTGATGATTTACAAGACCTTAGACCGCTGCAGAGGGGGCGAGATGCTCTAGGGACCAGTCTAAGAAGAAGCTGGCTGGGAGCACCAGGTAAGTATCTTTCTTTTTTTTTTTTTTACCCTAGACAAAAATGAGCACTTAACCTTTGCAGTGCAGGGTTTAAAAGAGAACTATGGGGTAAACTTTTTATCCCATAGTTCTCTGAAGGGTCACGGGAGGACATATACTAACGTTAAGCTGAACTCTGCGCTCACCCTCCCCCCCAAAACTAACTGATGGCCTAAAAAGCTTCTATTGAAATTCACAGCTCACGATCAGAAATCGTCCGCGCTTCTTCTACCACCCACCTCTAACGTGTTTCACTGACACAGGCTTAGGGCTCTTTCACACGTGTCAAAACCAGGCGTTTGAGAAGCGTTTTTAATGCCTCCCTGATGCCTTTTAACGCCCATGTTTGATAAAACAATAGCAACAGCCCAGTACAGTTCAAACATGGGCGTCAGCGTTGCCAACGCTGGACGTCGTGATTGACCATTGGATTACTGCGATGGATGCATTTTTTGACTTTTTTTTTTTTTTAAATTAAAGGACTTGTCAAAAACTTGGGGGGCGTGGCGGTGCATTGAACTCAATGGCACCGCAGCCACGCCCTCCGGTGTCTGGGGGGAACGGGCCCTTAAAGGCTAAGTTTACTTTTCTGACCATGTTTTTGGTAACACCCATATTCTGGGTATAACATGAAGCATGGTCACATGTTACCTGAAGCACAGGGTTCTTCTCCCCACAGGCTGCTGTTGGTTTTTTAATTCAGCATGACTGATGATGGCTCTGTCCACACAGCTATGTCATCTATTCACAGATCCTTTGACAGAATCTACGATTCGAGCAGCTACAAGTCCCATCAGCCACAACAGCAGAGGAACTTGTAGTTCTGAATAAAAATGTATCAACACTAAACTCACAGAGGGGAATTTATCAAAACTGGAGCAGACAAAATCTGGAGCAGCTGTGCACGGCAGCCAATCAGCTTCTCTTCTTTTATTTCCAAATCTTACCTGAACAAACTAATGGAGGGAGCTGATTGGTTACCATGGGCAACTGCTCCAGATTTGATAAATTCTCCCCATAGTCCATTCTTTATTCCTACTATTCACATTGCTGAACGTCTGCAAGGACATGTATAGGCGGGAGAATCTGCAGGAGACAGAGCATTGCACCCATGATTCACTGATCACAGCTGCAATACATTGTGGGCTCCAATGCACTAATATAATAAAGCCCATTTTTCTCTCATGAAGAAGGGTGCATTTCTAAAAGGTGGACTTTGCCTTTAAGTCACTTTATCAGGTACAGATGGGTGTACATTTCAGCATGCTTTGTTGTGTTCATCTACGACAGAACACACGTCGTCCATTCATCACAGCCCTCCAGCTCCCCATAGAAATCCCCGCCCACCTGTTACGTCATCACGGCGTGACGTTCCAAACCCGGAAGCGGCTGCTGTCACTAACAACCAGCACAACAAGAACGCGTTGTATGATATAGGGGGTGACTGTCCTATGTGTGTGCCCCCGGAGGTTCCACTATGCGGGTACCGGGCGCGTTCAGTTGATGGGGGTACGGAAGTGATAAATGGCTGCTGGAGGAGGAGGAAGAGGGATGTATCGGAAGGAGTTCCGGCCAGCTCATCGTCTACCTTCTACTCGTGTATGTGTGTAGCTTCCTGTATCTGTCAGAATGCTCATCAGTCACACTTACCTCGGTTGACACGTCTGTACACTTGGCTATTAGTGCTAAAGTCCTGGTAGGCAGTGTGTATTATAGCTGACTGAGGTCTCTGCATGTGTCAGCTCAGCAAAATGCCTACCCAAAGACTCCATTCAGTGAGGGGAATTAATCAAAACTAGAGCAGACAAAAACTGGAGCAACTGTGCATGACAACCAATCAGCTTCTCTTTCATTTTCAAATCTTAACTGGACAAACTGAAGAGAGAAGCTGATTGGTTGCTGTGCACATCTGCTCCAGATTTTGATCAATTCCCCCCAGTGTATTTCCAGTCTGGGAGCGCCTTCTCCCACACTTGTTGGCCATCGAACTGAACTATTTCATCTGATAGAACAGAAGCCTCATTGGTGTGTGAGCAGGTTTCTTTTTTTAGGGTACTTGTGAGGATATGAACAGCAGTATGGCTATTGGTGATTTGTGCAAACTGTGGGGCTGTCATCCTTGTCCTTGCTAGTGACCTACTGATGCAGAAAAGTAGTCTTTCCACCCTGCATGCTCCAGGTTGGGGATTCACATGGTAGTGAAGTCAGGATCAGGGTGACAGCTCCAAGACCATCACTTTACAGACCAAATTGGCACTAGCCACACCTGTATTATTATTATCCCCATGTGTTCGATTCGCTGCTGGAACGCACTGGAGCACATCCCTGCTGGCTTCCTGCGTTCAGGGGTGGGAGGCGGAATAGCAGTGCATTGAAGTCAATGGCACCACAGCCACACCCCCACACCCCCCCCAC